TCGGGATCATTCATAGGTGGCAGCACCTGCCTCCAAGATTGAAAGATGATAGCAGCCATGGGACTCGGGTATACTACCACGTGACTAAGGCTGTCACGTAGGCAACCAATTTAGGCTACTGGGTAGTTGTGTAGCTCCACCTGCCTAACTTCCTTCTCCTAGCGGGTCCTCTGTTGCACATCTCTCGCTGGTCCTTCTCCTAGAGTATTCCGTGCATCACTATACTATAGCCGTGCCAGCATCAGTGTGAACTTGTTCTAGACTGTCAACATAAATCTTGGAGGGGGGGGGTCTGCCTCGAGCCTTCTTCTTCCTGTCCTCATACCACCTGAAACCTCTTGCACTTGGGACTCCCTTGGCTGGCCTGCTATTGTGCTGTGGGTGACGGTGGTAGTAAGGTGTGATGGGATGGGTAAGGGGAGGAAGGTAAGGACGGTATGCGCGGGGTAGAGTGGGAAGGGAGGGCAGGCAGAATCCTCGGTGGGGATCCGGAAGGGAGAGGGGGTCTGGAAGACACTGGTTGGAGGACGGTCTTTTGGGGGACTAAGGGGGGTCGAGGCAGGTCTTGTGTCTGTCCGGGGAATTCTTCCTGCAGCGCTCTGGAGTTGCCACCTGGTACCACTGTGACAAAGTATGGCCTCCTCTCCCAACCTCCTGTTCTTCCAGATTATGTTGCCATCGGTTGTGATTTTGCATGCTGCTTTTTGTGGACCCTCCAAAATCTCTTGGAAAAATCTTTTGGTGTCCTGTTTGCCCTGCTGGTCTTTCAATATTTTCAGGTCTTCCTTCACATCTTTCCAGGCACGGGTCATATCAGCTCTTATTGAGCTCGTGATTGTCTGTTTGGCTTCAATGAAGCCATAGGTGTACACCCTCTGTTCAAACTTCAAAGGAATATATTGCCCGCCGTATGGACATTAACACTCTGACTGGCACCCCAATCCTTGGGGTAATCTTCCCTTCTCCCCAGTAGGATGAGCTTTATGTCCCAAATCAGATATAATTGTCCTGTCAGGTGTTGCCACGCTGCATCCCACCATGTCCAGATGTGGAGCACCATTGGGCATTCCAGCAGGCAATGCTCGAGGGTAGCTCTTCTCTATGGGGGCGAGGGGTGGCAGTAGGACCATATTGAGGAGAGCTTGCCCTGGCTCTCCAGAGCTGTTCAGAAGTCAGCCACTCCAGGGAGTTGTTGGTCTCAGCCAAGAGAAGTGAGACCAGTTGCATTTAGCTAAGTCTTACTCTTTGAGCGGTGAGTCCCTGGCCCAACGTCGGGTGATTACAGCTTTGGCAGGGTTGTGATACGCAACCTCACGCCCCCTCGCGGTGTCCCGTACGGGGTCGCCGATCAGAGTTCTAGGAGGGGCGTGGCCGAGGATTTTTGGCCGTAAGGGTTGAGTCTCCCGGACAGAACGGGAGGCCCTCGTTTCGTGCCAGATGTTTTCCCCGGGATCGAACTGTCGCCGCGAAGTCCCGTGGGGGTCGGATCACTCCGAGACAATAAAATCAAAAAGGTTTCCGCAAAAACGAACTGCCGTCGTGCATCAGGACGGGAAAAGGCATAAAAAGGGGGGGGGGCATGGCGGTGGAAGACAAAACCTCGGCCGTCAGGGGTTTGGGGGATAGGTGGTGGGTTCGAAGCCTTCAGGCCTCATCCTCGGTTCTCACGAAGTGGCCGA